GGCTACAACGAAGGCGACGAGTTGGCAGCGGGAACACGTTCCAGGGTTAGGTTGAGTACACCGCGAATCTGACAAGAGGCTAGGATATCAGGCCAACAGAACACCATCACGTAGAGGCACTACGGCGAATGCCAGGAATCGACGGCTGATCCCGATACGTAGCACGATCCTTGGTGCTCACGTTTCCAGCAACGGGCTGGAGGTGGTTTCAGACACCCCCGACCTGATCCACACCGAACTTGTTACCAACTGCTTGCCGCCGCGCTAGTCACGGTTGAATGGGTTACGGGGACGATTGGTGTCTTTGGTTGTAGCTGAGGTGAATATTATGTACCTTATCGCTCGGCTGTACGCTCGCCTCAAGCCGACTCGCGTATCAGCACAGCACTTTGAAAAGGCCGCTTCTAACAACAAAAACAACCGGCCAATACCCATCCCCATGGCATAGGGACGCACTCACAGATATGTAATTGCTTCTGGCCCGGCATCTTCCAAGCACGACGCCAGATCGTCGAAATCGGCATCTGTTAAGCGGCAGTTACTAAGGCTCCTGGGGGAAGATTGCGGACACCAACAAACGTATCAAGTCTTGCTCTGTTGGTCGTGCGGCGGTGTTTTTTTGAAGGAAGCGCGTGAAAATGCGTGAATAAATACCTCAACAAATGCTCTGATCTCAACAATACTGCCCAATGTTAAAACGTTTTCCGGCCAACGGGTACCGGAGAAAAGATAATAATAAATACCGCCGATCTTGGAGCGACCATTATTCAGGGAATTGCAAAATTCCGTCCTACAAGGTAACTCAATCTTTCGGCAACGGATGCTTCGCCAGCCACCATCAAACATGTTTGGGGTCTCGCATAGCAAAAACATAGAATTCGGTGCGGGCTTACAATTCTCCAGCATCAATTTCACATCTGTCGGAGTCCGTGGTGTCCAGACATTCATTAACTGAATTACCAACGGCGTACGCAGGACAGACGGCAAATGAGAGGGGATGAGTGGGCGGGTATTGAGATTGGCATAAAACTGTCAGCAGCTGCATCCGAAATGAATATTGCGGAGTCGACCAGGGCACCGCACTGCGATGTTCCGAGATAGAGAACGAGATACCGGAGTACGAGACAAACAAAAACGCGATCTCGACAAACTGGTATCGACGCCACAGGCTCTCCGCATACGAAATGACGGGGGAACCGGCAACGTATCCAATCGACTACTGCAAGGACATACAGCATCGCACGATTCGACAAATCCTGTCGTGTGAGATCGACCCCTCCGAAACAGGATCAAATATCGCAGCTGTCAATGTCTTCGAAAACGACCTAACACGCCAGCTGCATGGCCAACGAAGTAGACCTTCACCTTCCCAAGAAAATCGGTCACTCTGGTCAACAGATTCTTCACGAGGTACCGTAAGGAGATGGGGAGCCGCTCACGATTGTAGCTTTGCAATCACCAACTTCACCGGGGATATCGGCTACTTACTACTCGAAGAGGTGAATAAACGTGTGATGTAATCACACCTCATCCTGAGGTGAATCCCGTGTTGGCAAGCGAATGAATCCCCCCCTGATCAGTGTCTACCTGCCGGTCTACTAGGCAAATGGAAACAGCGTTTACATGCCAGCGGTTGGATCAACATACTGGTCTGCCCCAATGTTGCTCAAACGAACCCAACCACCCACGTGCGGAGGTATCCAACAACGTGGAGAGCCCAAGCAGAATGATCGAAGTCATCTCCAGCATTCTCCTGCGCAGCGTCCAGAATGGTGGCAGAAAAGTTGAGCTGCACATTACGGGAAAGGACGGAGTGGACGGATTGAGTAAGAAGAGTCTTCGGCGTTGTACTTGTAGTCGCCGGCCACAGCGAATCCAAGAACAGCATTTGGCGCTCCAGCGGGGGAGCGGATGCACCAACCAGTCCCGCCTTCAAGATCCCTTCGAATAAATACTGGACACGTTCTCTATTTTGCACAAAAATAGTGATTGCGGACCGCTCCGCGCGCGCGCGTGTGCGTGTTCTTCACGTTGTCAGCGGCCCCCTTCGGACAACCGATGTTTTGGGTGACCTCCACCGGTGGAAAAACTTCTTGTTTGCTCCACCCCGCAGATCTTCACCCACAGACCAGCTGCATCCTGTACGGGCTACAGCTATTATGTATCGTAGCTACTTACAGCTAAATAGGACCATGGTTTCAGAGATTTGCTAGTGTACCTACCTGGTCTGCATCACCTTTATCATTACCTCCGTAACAAATGTGTGTTGTACCTACATTCTACCTTCACAAGAACGCGTCGTGGTGTCTCTTTTTACAACTTGCTTGATTGCAGTGTTACGGTTGATCAACACCATGTACTGCATGTCCAAATCGAGGCGGATGAACCATTTTTTCTGTGTCTTGCTTGAATAAATGACGCATCTAGCGCCTGTCGGCTAGTTGACATATTGATAGCATCCGCAGTGATTGCAGAGCGTCAGAAGTTAGGGATGTTCTTATGAACATGTAGAAAGAGGTGGTTGGGATATCTCAACCGATATGCATACGACCAACAAGAATGTGTTCACAAATAATTCCCACCTGAAATATCGGTATCAGCAGGAAGGGATTCTCGCTAGAATATCAGATAAGACAGACATGCTTCCGGGTTAATGGTGGAGGCGATGGCAGAAATACCAGTCGGGCGAGCCCCAATATTTTCCGTCGTATCCCCCCCGCCACCCTGGTTGGCCATCGGGGTTGGGTTTCTGTCGTTTGGCGACAAGGTTGAAAAACAAGCCGCTCCCCCCGGTGTTTGCCATCGGGGTTGGGTATTCGTCGCCTGGCAACGACGTTGTAAAACAAGCCAATTCACTTCGTGAACTCGGCAACCAGGTTACCGGTTTTTTTACCTCCGGTTTTTTTCTTGGCGGTAGCCATAAGGTCGAGTAAATCACGTTGTGCGGGGTGGAGAACCCTCGCTCCGCGCAAGGGGAATGATCGCACCATGTGCTAAAATGGTCAAGCACCCTCGAGGCAGTTACACAGTGTTTACAACTGTCTCAGGAAGTGAGAGCACCAAAACGTAAATTCAGTCATACACCGCTGTCATAGCTGTTATCCGTCCTCAAGCAAGTAAGCACAAGATGCCGAAAACCCTTGGCACGATGCAGCGCACCCTTCATGCGACTCGCCGAATATCTCACGGCGCTTCGCGCTTGGTGATGTGAGAGCCTGGTCCGGTGAGAACCCGGCGTGCTCCATCCCGGCTTTGTAGGGATGCGAGGTCAATGTGTCTAACGACTACGGCATTGCACGACTATGCGTACACCCCCCCCCTTTCGCTCGTAGTGCCCCCGGCGTGATATTGTTGTCATCACAAGTCCTTTATTCGCTTGGTCTCGCGTTCGAATTCGAGTGTCTCTTTGTTCCAGTGAAGCGTTGGAGGAGCCTTGTGTATTTCCTTCCCGTTTCCATTTCTCTTTTCTGCTGCCATCCCTTTTTGACCGCGGTCAATCGTATCCCGGTTAGATTTATTTTATTCGTTTGTTGTTGTTGTATACTTCACATTAAACCGTATGCCAGTTGCTAAATGCCAAAATCTAGCAAAGACTCTCGGCCCGTGGTCACGAAAGTGCTGGAGCCATCTGAGGATCTAAAGAACACGCACACGTAGCAAGAAAAAGGTGTACAAGAGCCCGAAGAGGTACTACTACACCTATATATAATCCCTGCAGCACCGTACGCGTGCCCAAAACTGAACTACACGTCCGTCTCACCGTTCGACTACAGCAACATCACCCCCTACCTGTCCCACTCTGTACCAAAACGAATGATTGCCGACTACAGCATACTTGCTGTCTGAAGTGCTGTCTGTACAAAAACACCATGGTAGGCATGGAACAAGAAGCTGGCGGGGCACAAAGCTGCTGTCTGAAGTGCTGTCAGAATGTGTCTGCGGACGTACAGTGAAAAAGAACAACCAACCAAAGCCATGATTGCAATGGACAATCACCCGAACCTCTCCCGATCGTCTGTGTTAGGCACGCAGTGAAAATATCGACAATAGCTAAGAATCGTTCCACATTGAAGGGGTCTTCCACGATCAGACACATAACCAAGGCACCCGGGTTAGCTACGCCATCTCTGACGGGTCTTTCTACAAAACCAGTTACGACGTCATCACATAGAACCAACAAACACCGAAAATCAGGAAAAAAACGAGAAAGACTGACAACACAGATCAGATATAAATGATTGTCCGTGCGCCACGGGTCGATGTCGCCCGCATGCTCCGGTGCCGCTGCTCCGTCCGGCGCCGCTGTAGTCAGCCCGAGCATAACGCCACTCGACCTGCTCCGTCCGTACACGCTCTCGTTGCTGTCCTTCCCAGTCGGTTCCTCGCTTTCTCCCTCGTTGCACTCAAGGTTCTTGGTCTGAAAAATAAAAATTCTCGCGCCGAAGGGGTCAACCAGCCCAGTTCAGCTCGTCGCCACCTGCTCCCTCCTCCTTTGGTGGCGAAGCCAGGATACTGAGGCAATGCAGCTCCCTCTAGCAAACCTAGGGCCGTGTACATAGTTCCCGTCCACCTTCTGACGGTGTCTGCCTCCGCGCACAAAAAATGAGATGGGCATCGCTGCCTACGCCGACGGCCAGAGGCCCGCGCATCTACATTTTTTCGCCTGACCCCATCAGTGCCGACCCAACTACACCACCACGCGCATGCCTCGCGGCGGATATGCGCAGCAGCAAAAAGGTTTCGGTCATCCCTTGAGGGTGAGTCTAGCCCTGCTCGCCAGAAAGACCCCCCCCTTCACTACAACCCATGTCTAAGCAAAAGCTTGTCGAGGAGCGAGGGGAAGAAGGGAGAAATACTTGGGTAAACAATCGCGTCTTTGTTTTACATTACAAGAACAGTGCACCCCTTTTGGGGGGGGGGACTTGGCTTGTGACCACGCAAGCGCCGCTGCCGTTGAACCAGTACGGACATTTGAAGGTATAAAGCGGACACCAGAACGGTTCGTAATGTGAAGACAACAGCAACACCAACAACCTCAGTGGTCAGGATCGAGATAATCTTCGTGTAATACAACTCGCTTAAACCGTTCCGTCTTCCCTCAAGTCCTATCGGAGAAGGCTACAGTTCAAAGGTGTGGTATCACGGCAGGATCCGAATGCCCGCTGCTACGAACTTAGACAAGAGGTCATGCGGGTCGGTTCAATCAGCGTCATGCACAAAGCTGATCTGCAGCGTGTTGCTTTTCAGGTATCATGATATTATTTTGTCTAGGGTGCGATTTTGTTGCTTCTCGAT